GTGTGTGTGTGTGTGTGTGTGTGTGTGTGTGTGTGTGTGTGTGTGTGTGTGTGTGTGTGTTAGTGTTACCAGGAGTTTGCTGTGCTCTTCCAGCAGTCTGTCGTACTCCACCGTCAGGTTCGCGGACTGTTTCTTCATGGCACGAACGTCGTTGTCCGACTTCTGTAGAGCTGTGAAACAAACAGATTTCTCATTTTCACTCAGATCTCATCTTCTCTGTCTCAGTCTTCCTCCTTTAACTTCTTCTCCTCCTCATCTCTTGTGGATTTTACCTACTGACTGCGTTTCCTCCACCTTACCTTTCTTGGTGGCTTCCAGCTCCTCCTTCAGGCTCTTCACCTCCTCCTTCAGAGTCTTGTTCTCCTCCTGTGGTCCTGGTCCTTTCTTCCCAGCCTCCGGCAGCTCAAGACCAGCCTCACGCAGTTTCTAGAAAAACAAACAATATTTTTTAAAAAAGGAGCCCTTTAACATCTGCCAGATGTTTGCTATTTAAATTCTGGTGCAGATCTGAAAGTCTCCAGAGAGCTGAAAGAAGCCTAATGCATATTTGAAATCTTTCCGTTTGACACAGATAACTCCAAACTTTTGACCCAGTTTGAGTCCAGAGAACCGTTACAGCAACACACCGGCTGTGCACCACTGCTTTATACCACAACTGTGCTTATTGGTCCATACCTGACCTTTTCATTCATCAGGAGCTCGGTCATGGCTGAAGGTTTTGGCAGTGACACATATTTTGTGTTTCCTACTTCGCAGCCTGCATTTAAGGGCTGACCACAGATTCTTGACCACTTTAAAAACTTCTGAAATGCTGACTAACGGAGATTTTGGGAGAACAAGTGAATTTGGAGTTCGTTAGAAAGTGGCGCTTGACTCCTATGAGCCAGACGTTGACTTAATTTAACACTGCCAACAAAAAACAAAACAAATAACAGCAGCTGAAATCTTAACGACCCGTCTGCAGCAAACTGCATTTCCTCCAAACTAGGGGTGGGCGGTATAAACCATATATGGTAGAAACGATATAAATTTGGCCAACGGTAGAGATTTTGACTATACCGCTCTACCATGAGTTGATGGTGTCATCAAGCTGCGGCGGATAAAAACAACATCATCTGCAAATCATGCCGGCGACAGTAATAGCAAAGAGGCAAAGCAGTTCTGGAATATGGGGAAAGCAAAAACTGCGCTTCCTCCACATCCGTACCATTGATTCATTAATGCTGAATTTTCTCGCAGCTGCTCTGTTCCCATGTTGTTGC